TTAGAATATCGCACATGTTATTGAGTTCAGTAATAATCCTATAAATATGTAATAATATGATGTGAAGTACTGTTATTTATACTGTTATAATATTTAAGTACTGTTATAATATTTTCTGGAAAGAAGTAAGAAAAATTCAAGGACAGAGCATCTTAACATGTAGAAAAATACAGAGCAATCTTCTGAATTAAGTCGGAAGCAGGTGCTATTGGGAATGACACTTTCATTAGGGGGCAGTTTGAAGTGATTTGGAAAATGGGATATTTGGGACAAAAAAAAATCTTGAGGGTGGGGGTTGATGGGAGACCTGGCAATGAATTCCTGGAGATGGGGAAAGGAATTTTTGGGTGAAAGAGTTTAGCTACAGGATATTTTAACAGATATGTGTAGGTGAGAAAACTGAGAGAAAAGTCCATTATTTTCTGACCATGACCATACTGATAGGGAGCAAAAAATTTGCCCAACCTCATAAATTCATTGCACTTCCTGGACTTGTGGGTGCGGGTTTTTCTGTCATCTCAACTTTCCCAGAAACAAACAGGCATGCATTTAGTAGTTAGAAATGATTTTCAAGGTTATTGTTAAAATAAATTTTTCAAAATCCAAAGAATTTTTTGTTAAAATTGTAGTTTACTTCATAAAAGAAGTGTTGGAGTCCTGTCATTTAAGGGTTCTGATGCGCTCCAGCTACAGTTAAGATATATCTAAAAAATTGAGTACTGGAGTCATGCTCTGGTGGGCACTTCTGTGTTTCATGTGTAATTTTAGCTACTCATGTGTAATTTTTAATGCCCTCAGTATCATATTGGTGTTTTTTTTCCTCATTGAATTGAATAATTAACTATTAAACATTTTAAATATTAAATCAAACTCCATGCCAATCTTTTCTCTGTTTTGTTGAAATGCTTGAGTTTTTCTTATTCATCTTTAAAACAGATCATTCCTGTTTAAAGTTAGAAGATACATATTATTAATAGTTATTTCTCCTTGTAATGTATCTCATTAATTCATGAACACATTGGTAATTTCTGTAATTATGTTGGATTAATATTGCAATTTCATCCCAGGACAAAGTCCCGATATAGGTATGTGAAATCTTTATGGTTTCTTTTTTGTTGTTTCATATTGTTACATAGCTTACAAAATTATTACAGTTTTGTACAGCAAATCATAATTTATGCATTCGTCTTTTATAAGTCCTTTAACATACAATAAAATATTTTATTTATATAACATTATTTATGAGTCATACATATATCAGCTTCTCTCTTGTAGGCAAATAGTTTTTCGAGAAACAACTTCTTTTTCGCAGTAGCATTCAAAAGTTGTATGTGGAGATACAAAGGAAGAGGTATGAAAACATGAGATATGTGAAATTGGTACTGAGCTGGGCAAATCTAGTTGGCGAGTGGGAGCATAACTTATAGAGATATATAATGTAGTCTAATGACTGTAAGGTTTGCAGATAAAAGGTGCTTCATTCACTCAATTCCTGTGCCATTTAGTAAACATATTTTAGTAAAATATGGTTTAATTAAGCATTTTGACTAGATAAAATATCACTGATTATTTTACACAGATTAAAAGTAGGATTCATGTGTCATGCATATGTAAATTCAATAAAGCTTTAATTTACTCTTTTAACCTTCTAAAACTGGACCAAAATTCTCATAATATAGCCTTCAGACCAGCACGATCCAAAACAGTTTTGCCCCCTGTTTGAGAATTTCCTAATGAGAAAAGTCGTTAGTTCCCCTCCATAGATGCAGTAAAATTTACATGTTTGTCGGACGCTGTCCGATAGTAGATGGGTTGCTAGATTTGGGTTTTTTTCAATGATTATTTTGCTTTCATTTAAATGAAGTTCTAAATAAATAGTGCATAAATAAATATGCAGTACTGATGCATATCCAGTGCACACTTTATTTAGAACAAAATGTATGCAATGTTTATATTTCACTCATTATTTCTAATCAATCTCGTAAATAATTTGTGAATTTTTTAACTTTGTTTTCCTTTTCATCTTCATTATATTCGCGTATTTTCGTATTAGAAATTAGAAAGCGAGAACAAAATTTTAACAAAATATAGTAAATACAGACTAGATCTGTAAGTCTGCAGGCCGGAATGCGATTTTTAATAACATATTTTCATTAATAAAAAATAATGGTAATGACTAATTTAATGAAATAATAATAATAATATTTATTACCATTAGATGATTAGAATGAGATTCAATACAATTAGATTTTGAGATGAACTTACAGCAATAATAAAGCTTTACATAACAATAACAGAGATTTAAATCTGCTTTTTTTTCGATAATTTTGTTATTATAATATAAAAATCAAAATCCGAGATACATTGGTTGCGTTTCATAATTAATTTAAAATATTACATTGGACTATCAGGCAACAATTAATAAATCCTGGATCCAAATCAGGCAAGGAGGTATATCTTTAACGAGAATTTTTCTTTGTAAAATTGGCTTTTGTTTATGTTAGCCGAGAAAAAAAATCTGTGACTTATACATGCAATCATCAAAAGAATTTTGAGAACAGTTTTAAATGTTCATGAAGAATTAATTATACGTCAATTTCTTTTCATAGGTAGAAATTTCGTCTAAAACATCGTTATATCCAAAAGTTGAAGTCTATTTCATTTTCAACGAATATTCTATTTGCACATAATATATTTTCTAATTTATTTTAGAAAGAGTAATCTTTCACGTTTTCAAAAGAATAAGGAAATATATGGGTGTTGACACTTGATACCATGTAGTAAATTGTTTTTTCATATTTCTTCCAGTAATGAAAACGATTACCCTGCAATATTTTCAAAGCAAAATTAAGAAAACCGTTTACGCCAAATTTTGCATAAAGTATCTTCTCGTGTATATTTTTATTTAAAGTGTGGAATTTTCTCTTTGAAAATATCAAAAATCATGAAGAGCAAAATTAATTCATGAGAAATAACTTTGAAATGCAATAATTCCATTGTAATATGACATAGTGGAGAAAAGTGCAATACAGTTTATTTATTCACAAATAATCCCCCTCATATGCGTAATTTATGTACTGTCGATTGAGAAATATAGGTTAGTAAATTAAACCGGTTAATTCAATACTTTTTCTTTTATCAATATTTTTTACGGGCCCTTCAGTAAAGCGGTAAAGGTGGCTGAACACTTGTAGCTCGCTTGGGTTTGAATCCCGGATTAATAGTTGGATTCATGGTTTTGTGTAACGTAAATGCAAGCCAGCTTCTCTTAGAAAGTCCTCCGCGAAGGACATAACTCCCCTTATAACAGGTAATTGTCGTTGGGTGCTTTGATGTAATTCAGTAAGCGAACAAATTAATCCAATCAATACCGAAGAACGGGTTGATTGCATGTGGAATTTTTCCACCAGGAATGTAAATGCGAGCAATTTTCTCTTAAAAAGGTTTTACACGAAAGCATCCATTCCCTTAAGCAAGCAGATAGCGTTCGCGTGCTTTTCGTAATCCAATCCTAATTTTCATACATTTAATAGTAAGTTGACATACACCTTATTACAGACAAAATAACAACTTTTTTAAAGATTTTTTGTTATTAACTTGTCTGAATTAAATCTGAATTTTTATCTCTTGAGGAGTATCAGAATTTCAGCAAATAAAACTGGCCGAAATTTTATACAATGCAACTGATGTTTTGATTCAATTTAGAAGTAACGTGAGCTTTACTTATATTTAAACACTTTTTGGCAGATCTCATCCTAAAAGAGGGTTTAAAGATAAATTGATTTTATTTAATTTACAATCAATGAAATCATTGAAAGCAATCATTGAATGAAATCATTGTATAAGATTGAATGAAATCAATCATTCATTCAATCTTATTCAATGAATAAGATTGAATGAATCATTGAATAAGATTGATTTCATCATTGAATGAATTGAAAATCACAAAAACTATTATGCATTCAATTGTCTCTTATTTATCTCCTGATAAATCAGACAAAATTGCCTGTATAATAGAAGCACTTTGAAAGAGTTAACAGTTCTTAAGGTTTTTATACACTCCCAAAAAAATGTCAAAATAAAATCTTATTAGTCATAAGTATAAAAAGGAAGTTAACAATAAAAGCACGGTTTTACCTATTTTCTAGAAGGGCATTAAATCTAAAATATTAATCTAACCTCATTTGCTATGATTAAAAAGCATTAAACTCTGGTAAGCTTAAACAGCGTGCAAAATTGCTCACATTTTAATCATAGCAAAAGTTAGTACTAAAAAAAGTTAGCTTTAAAATTATGAGACAGTGCTCTAACATTTAAGAAAGAGATGGCCTTCTATTTGATTTTCAAGTATATTGGCGTGAGACAGACCTGCGGTTTTTGCCAAAATGTAGCCAAACTGATAAGAAGAGGAAAATAATGCGTAGCCAGCGGCTATTCTGAGCAGCGACAATGGACCACCCTGAGATCTACAGATAGGCGATTCTCTAAAATAGGGAGGGAATGGGTGGTATAACAGTTGTACCAGAGCCATTGTTAAGGAAGGTCATTTTCCTGGTACAACTGCTGTACCAACCGGCTTCAGAAAGTTAAATTACTTTTTTGAAAAAACAAGTTTAACCATATGGAAATTTCTGTCATAATTATCAAGAAATGTGCTATAATAATACTCTGGGATTTATACAGACGTTTCTGGTTTTGAGGAACTAACTTAACAATGCTAACAAAGCATAGCCAAAATATGATGTAATCTGAAATTACATTGATAAATCTGGATTTTAATAGAGCAAGAGGAACATTCCAACTTGAAAAGTCAGCAGTTACAGTTGTATAATTGTAATAGTCAATCTCATTTGTGCATCTTTTTCTAAGAATCCTTTAATTCAAAATGCTTTATTCAGTTAAAATAATGATCAAGAGTGATGTTTTTTTTTTAAATTTGTACTATAATTCAAATATGCTAAATTTTAATGTAAAATTCAGTAGTTTTTGTTATTAAAATATTTCTTGCATTTTAGCAATTTTTTGAAGATCCTGCATTTCGCAGTGATGGTTTAAAAATATACCCCACACTAGTGATTAGAGGAACTGGACTTTATGAACTGTGGAAAACAGGCCGCTACAAAAGTTATCCTCCCAGTGTTTTGATTGATTTGATTGCAAAAATATTGTCACTTGTACCTCCATGGACTAGAGTATACAGAGTTCAAAGGTTAGTTAGTTTATTTAGTTGAAATATATTATGTATCTTGAATGAAAAACAATTGTGACAGTTATTAGCTACTTTTCTATTAACAGGCCACTTGTTGCCAAATGTTGTTATATTACATCATGAAGAGCTGTGCATAATGTTTAAAGTAGGTGATGCCAAATTTATGCAATTATTTGAGACTTCTAGTGAAAATCGATCATTGTGTACATGGTGAGAACAGTTTTGTTCTTCCCATGTACACAGCAAACTGATTCTGCTTAGAGAATTCCACAACTTCTGCTTCATTGCACAGCCTTGGCATTGCACATATTAAGAACTGTATACATTATACAGCGATGGTGTTCACACATTTTTGTAACGACTTTGCAAAGATTTATATATAAACAAATCTTAGAATTTTATTTTTCAATATGGCCATCTTATAGCCCTTTTGTTGAACTATCATTTTATGTCCTGATTTCCAAGATAAAAGTCCTTTTCTTAAAATATCAAGTTTGATTTTATTCCACTCTCCTTCACAATCTTGCAGAGTTCATCCAATGTTTGGGGATGCTACTTATAAAGAGCTTGTTTTAAAAGTCCATATGCACAGTAATCATCAGGGGACTTCAGTGGGATGCATTTAAAGGGAATAGCTTCAATTCCAGTTTCATTTCTCATTTTTTCAAAAAATACAGTAATAAAGGAATGGCTTGGAGCCTTATCCTGATGGAACTTAACAGAGTGAAGATTGTTTGGATAAAGAGACGGATTTCTTCTTTAAAAAAAGCATTAAAACATATTTCTGATAGTAATCCAAATTAATTTTGACATTCTACTTTCCTTATTAGTTTTCCAATATAAGAGAATCTAGTAATAGAAGAACTTTCCTTGTTCCATTAGAAAAACTTTTCTTGTGTTTTTTTCTGAACCAATGTATTAAGTCTTTTTCTCCTCTTTTTTGGTAGTAAATCGATCTTTTTCTATTGCAATCAGGTAAATATATCCAAGCCTCATCAGTTGTTACTATAATTTCCATTTTTCACGTGCCAAATAATTTTCATACAGCAATCTGTACATAGTCTTGCGCTGAGAAACATGTTTTGGCATTAGGTTATGAACATCATTTTTTTTTTATTAACTTAAATCAGATTTTAAAATTTTGTTTACAGTTCTTACAGAGATATTTAAAGATTTTGCAATAGCTCTTTGGGGGGGCTGGATTTTCCTTTAAAACATGAGATGTGACTTTAGATTTAATAAGAGCTGTACTTTGGGTATGCATTTTTTGCCTTTTTCCCAGTCAAATGTAAACTTTGACATTTCTTTCCTCTTATATTAATTATGTCACTTATTTTACGTGCAGAAATATTAAAACCATGCTTTTCACATTTTTAAAAATAATCGAATAAGAGCATTTCTCTTCAGAGAGCACAAAAATATAGCCTTAGATCCATTGTTTATTTTTCAGCAACATTACAAAGAAAATATTTTTAATGCTGCAGGCAATAATTAAACCTTATTCCAATTGGATGCCAGTCATGTTTGTATTTTGAAATTAATATATAATATCATGGAGAAAAATCAAAATCATTACAAAAATGTATGGACACCTTCTGTATATAAAATTGTTATTTTTTCATTTTCATTTTGAAGTTTTGTATGTAATTAGGATTGCCGCCATCAAGTTAGAATTCATGTGGCACCATATCAACAGAAAAGTACAGTTTTCTTTTTTTAATTTTAATAGCATTAGAAATCGTGCGTCAAACTTTAATATTATGCTCTATACATGACACTGCAACTTATCACTTTTAAATAGTTTGCTTTTAGCTGATATTTTATGTTAATAAGTAAATAATATTTTTTAATCATTACATTTAATGCAAAAATTTAAATTTAGTATTTATTTTTCTTATCAAGAGCTCAGTGTACAGTATAACTGTGTAATTTGTGCTAGTCTACAGGAATAACACTTTTGTATCCTTAATTATTTTGATTGGTACAAGATATGATAGATACTTAATATATGCTCTTATTTTTATTTTTTTCATTGTATACTAAGTCAAAAGTTAAGCCATACATATTTTTAAACTTTTTTGTGTACTGCATCCCATAATTATTATTATTTCTTACTATGTAGAAACCAATGGGAAGATTTGATAACTTATCAAAATAAGGATTTACTAAATTAACATATCAAAATTCAAAATTATTGATACTTAAAAGGATATTCTTTAAAAAAAAAAATTAAGCTTTATGACAATTAAATTTTTGTACAAAGATTTTGTGTTTCATTTCCTAACATTCTTTATAATTAAGGTTATATTTTTTTTAGTTTAGTTTATTATTATATGATGATATAAATAAAGTTGAGCATTATTGCAGAATGAAATAAATATGTTATGTACATTTTTTAAGCTTTACGACAGTTAATTAAATTTTTGTACAAAGATTTTATGTTTCATTTCCTAATATTCTTTATATTAAGGTTATTTTTTTTAGTTTAGCTTATTGTTATATGATGATATAAATAAAATTGAGCATTATTGCAGAATGAAATAAATATTAAGACACAATAACACGCCGAATAAATACTAATTCAGAAGTCAAACAACAAAAATCAGCATTATATTTACAAAATCTATATGTTATGTACATTTTTTAAGCTTTACGACAGTTAATTAATTTTTTGTACAAAGATTTTATGTTTCATTTCCTAATATTCTTTATATTAAGGTTATGTTTTTTTAGTTTAGTTTATTGTTATATGATGATATAAATAAAATTGAGCATTATTGCAGAATGAAATAAATATGTTATGTAATACATTTGTCTTTCATTTTTCAAGTAGTTTCATAAAAATAAACTTAAAAACCTTGATAGACTGCCATGGCTTAGTTTGCTGCTTGACAATTGCTAAAGAGCAGAGAGCAGGCATTGTCATCTATAAAAGTCCGGGTAATTGAAAAAAAAAAAAAAAAACAAAAAACCTGACCTAGGAGAATTTCAGTGCAATACCATTGTGATTCACTGTACTTCCTTCAAAGATATGAACATGAGTTTCAACAGTGACCAATTTTGTGAACATTTTGGTGATGGTAACAAGTTTTTCTCTCTCTGTCCACACTAGCTAGTGTCCAGAATCACTTTTGATGGTGAAGGAAGAGTCATCAAGAAAGGTTATTTTTTTGGTTACCAGTTGCAGCCTTTTTAACTAAATATATAGGGCAAGTCATACAGTAACACCACCAGTAAATCAAAAGTTATTTAGTTTTTTTTATGTTCGAGGGCATTTCAAGAGATAAGTGTTTAAATGGCAAGCCATTTGTTAGTATCATAGTATAATGGAATATCAAATTATATTATTTCTTTCTTCTGAAAACTGCAAGTGAAGAAGTGATGATTGAAGAAAAATGAAACATAGCCAGGTTTGATGCTAAAGTAGTAATTTTTACAAATGAAATCTGAATGATTTTTCTCAGCGTTCATTTTTTTGTTGACATTCATGCTTTTAAAATGGTAAGATTTTTTTCTTTTAAAATAGAGGTGCCAAATATTTTTGAGCATGTTTATTTTTATACTTTTAATAAAGTGTGTGGAATAAGTATTAATGTGTATAGTTTTTCTTTAATATTTAAATTAAGAACTAGTCTTCTTCCTTTTTTACTTCCTTGTATGATGTAAAGGAAGTATTGTAATCACGAAAAATTCCGGGTACCATATTTCAATGAAAATATCCATTTTGACCATTATCGAATGCAATTTAACGATGTTTTTGCATGACATCTGTAATAAGGAAAGAATAAAGGACTCTTTTCCCAAAATGAATTATAAAACTGATTTAAAATGGATTCAAATGAGGTTTTTTTATGCTGTCTGTACGTGCATATATATGTATGCGATGCGAGATACATACATATGTATGTATTTTGACATACGTGAATATTTTGTCTATAGGACTACTATAACATGTAGCTGTGATATATATACCCACTTTGTTACTCGACTCAGTGAGCTCAGTTGTTTTATTCTGATATGTCAGTAAATTGTGCATTTTTTGCTTTAAAAAATGATTGAATTATGTTATTCGTATCTTCCAGTTAAGGTTTTTATGCCATTAGTTATTCTGCATGCAACAACTGTAGAATTATCAACAATTTAAAAATTGTTTACATGCGACTAAGCCTAATTTTTTTTACTATAGCAGCCATATTTGTTTACATTTGAAACTTAGCATAATAGTGAATTAAGTCTTTCTGCACCTTCAGTGCCTTTTTTTTTCTGAGTGGGGCCAAAAGGAAACTTTTAGTTTTGTGCGCTGAAAAATTACCTTCTTCGCTGCTGGTCGAATTTCTTGTTTTTGCATAGACTAATTTTAATTTAAAAAAAAAAAAAAAAAAAAAGATTGTTTTAACTGTAGTTGTTGTTTTATGATTTTTCTATATCTTTTAATTTTTAATTGAAATATTTTGAGTTTTTATGTATTTTTGTCTTGTCACGAGTGAGAACTGAATTAATTTAATGAGAAATATGTCTCTAATGAAATTCGAGGAAATACATTTAAATGAAATGCAGGAAAAAATGCGTATAATTTAATGTTCTGTATAAGGAAGTTATGTGCTGTACACATCAGCTTTTTTTACTTCCTTGTAGTATTGTAATTGCAAAAAATTTCAGGTATCATATTTCAACAAAAATATCTATTTTGACCACTATCGAATGCAATTTAACAATGTTTTTGAGTGACATCTGTATGTAAGGACAAAGTAAAGAACTCTTTCTTTGCCCAAAAATTATAAAACTGTTTTAAAATCAATTCTGAAGAGGTTTTGTTGTGGCGTTTGTACATACGTACCTCGCATAACTCAAAAACCAGTAGCCTCAGAATGTTGAAATTTTGTATATAGGATTGCTATAACATGTAAATAAGCATCTCCCGTTTTGGTATATAAATATATGTATATATATCCGCTGTGGTTACTCAGTTCGGTGAGCTGTTTCTTTATTCTTATATGTTTGTAAATTGTGCATTTTTTTGCTTTAAAAATGATTGAATTATGATGTTCTTATCTTCCAGTTTAAGGTTTTTATGCCTTTAGTAAATCTGCATGCAATATTTCTAGAATTATCAACAATTTAAAAGTTGTTTAAGTGGGGCTAAGCCTAATTTGTTTACATTTGAAACTTAGCAGAATAGTGGATTTGTTGTCAATCTAAAGAAACTAAGCTTCACAACAACAAAGTAACATCTTCTTTTATCATTGCGAATTAAATTATGCTTAGTTCATTCTATAATTATTATCCCATACGTTGACTCAGCATAGCATCCACAAGAAATTACGGTAGTTTCTACGCTTTCAGTGTCTTTTTGCCGAGTGAGACCAAAAGTAAAATTTCAGTTTTGTGCACCGAACATTCTGTCATTTTGCCCACTGGCCAAATTGCTTGTTTTTGTGTAGGAACTGTAATTTTAATTGTAAAAATTGTTTCCTTAATGGTTTTAACTGTACTTGGTGTTTTATGTTTTTCTACACCTTTCAATTTTTAATGAAAATATTTTGGATTTTTATGTATTTTTGCCTTGCCAAGAAGTGATAGCTGAATTAATTAGTAGTGAATGCACTTTAGGTAAGCAGCGCTGAATCATCTGTGGAAAACTGTTCCTTTTTTTTATTTGTTTAATTTCTTTTTTACATCATTTTAGATTTATTATAGTATTTGAATAGATCCATCGTCTGTTTAATATTGTACTTACATTTATTCCCCTTCTTTTCTTTTCTCAAATATAATGATTTCCATTGATTTTCTTGTGCACAAAGTACCATTATAAATATTAAATCAACAATTATTTGTGGTCTAAGAAGGGATTAATCTATTTTACATTAATTCCTATGGGAAAAGTAGGTTTTGTTCCCAAATACGAGGGTTGGAACTTTAATAGTGGCACTATTTATTTACAAGGAATACAAAAGTGATTCATGTCATCATGTTTTACAGTCCTTCAATATAGTTGCCAGCATTGCATACAACCCGTTTCCAACGATGTGGAAGTCACAGAATACCTGTAGTAGCACCTGTTTTGTTGATAGTTTGAATGGACCAGTCTACTGCCGCAAGAATCTCAGGAACAGTTTGGAAGCGAGTGCCACGAAGTGGTTCCTTCATCTTAGGAATTAAGTCATAGTCACAAGGGTTTAGATCTGGGGAGTATGGTGGATGGTAAAGCACTTCCCAGCCCCATCGCTTGAACAAATCAGTCACAACTTGCGCAGCATGCGGCCGAGCACTGTCATGCAAAATGAGAGGAGCATTCTGCAGAAAGTGTCGCCGTTTTTTTCTCAAAGCTGGTCGGACGGAGATTGTGCTCCAAAAATGAGCAGTAATACTGCGCAGTGATGGTCTGCTGTGGGGGAACAGTATGCGTTAGGATGACACCATCACAGTCGTACACGTGAATCACCATAACTGTAACATTGCTGGGGTTCTGACTAAATTTCGAACGTTGTAGTAACCCGTGATGACGCCATTCGTTTGATTGGCGTTTCAGTTCTGGCTGGTACGATCAGGCCCAAGTCTCATCCAGCGTAATGATATGGCATAAAAAAGCATCTCCTTCACGCTCATAGCGCTCCAGGTGGGTTCGAAAAGCATTGTATCATAACCATTTCTGCATTTCCGTCAATTGATGTGGAACTCATTGTGAAGCAATTTTTCTCATGGACAGGCGTTCCTTCAGAATGTGCAGTACATTCTTATGCGCTAATCCTGTTTGTCTGGCCAGCTGACGAATCATTTGGCGGTGATCACTGTCCATTAGTGCGGCAACAGTTTGCATGTCTGCATCGCTGACACTCGGATGACCTGGCCGCAGCATGTCTGCCACGTTTTGGCGTCCTTCATTGAATGCTTTCACCCATCTTGCTACGGTTCTGTAAGGCAATGCAGATTTCTCGCAAGCGTCTTGAAGCCCTTGATGACACTATCGTGCTGTACGACCTCTGGCACATTCAATTTTTATCCAACATCGTTGTTCTTGTTTTGAAAACATCCTGACAACACTTACTTTAGACTGCGAGCTAATACAAGGATCCGTTCTTCGCGTCACTCCGCATGCTCGTGACATAGGCAGGATGAGTCTTTTTGCTGAGAGGTAAGGTAGGTATGTAGTTCACGTGTGCTATGCGCGATATTCTTTGGTTTTGTTGCGTAGCATTTTTTTCAGCTGTGTTGCCACTATTAAAGTTCCAACCCTCGTATTTTGTGTAAATTCATAAACAGGTGTAAATGTTTTTAAATTCCAATTTTTAATTCTTTGTTGAAATATAACAAAATTTATTTAATTAGTAAAAGCCATTTGACACAAATGAAAATTATAATTCATTTTTTGCTTATTTTGTATTTTTGACAGTTCAACATTTTAAAACATTACAGAATTTTTTGTACTGCAGTTAGATCTATGAGATATTTTACATATACTTTATCTTATATTATCATTTTTGCCATATGCTTTATCTATTTGATAAAACTTTGCATGCAATTTTGGCAGATTTGCTATTAACACGTTGACTGCTCTGCACATTTTTTACATGGTTTGCCCATGGCGGGCAACATGAAATTTTTATTATGCAATGTATATTATATTGAAATGTACAGAAGATAAGGTGAGTTATATATTCGTGCTTAATGCATTTTTAGTTGTGGGGTCACTGGTGACCCCCAAGGCATTGTATACCATTTTTGTGATTCAAACTCAGAGTAGTTGATTAGTGCTTCAGCTGTTAATCGACTACTCTGATTTCTTAGTCTTATTCAGTGCAGTAATTAGAATTACTCCAATTATGTATTTTTACTATTGGTTGCATCACCAGTCACCGGTAGACCCTACGGTACTGTAGCCAACTCAAGTGCTGGCCACCAGTGAACCCCTGCGGCAGTCAACATGTTAAACTTGTTAATTTTACAATTGAAAAAATTTTAATTGATTTGTTATCATTTTCATTTTTTGTGAGTATGCATGTTTTAAAAATAGCGCCATGAATATCATTTTATCATCATTAAGATAAAGGTTTCACATTTTTATATCTTTATTATTATATTATTGATAAAACTATCCAGAAAATTTACATTAGTGTTTAATATATTTAAAAAAAAATATTTAAACTATATACTGGTTAGATTTTCTCATACATTCAATAGGCATGACAGGAGTAAAGAAGTATTAAACTGAAGCATCCAAAATTCTGTGTAATTTATCTTAAAAAATGCACCTCCCCCCCCCAAAAAAAAAAGAAAATAAAAATAATAAATTATGTACGAAATTTAAGAAATGAATTTGTTTAAATAGTTTTAAATTTTGTTTAAACAAACAATTCATAATAATACATTTTTTTGAAATTCCTTGCAATTCCTTGTTAAGATTAAAAATAAAGTTTCTGCTTAGTAACGTCTTCAAAAGTGTTATTGCCATTTATATATACGTGCACTGGTATGATGTACAGTATGAAGGATCTACAGGATATTGCTTCATGAACCATTTCCCACAAGGCTAGAAAGGTTGATTTCTCAGACTATATAATAAAAATTTAGCATCCTGCCATTGCTTAAAATCTCGGGTGTTTGCAACATAAACATATATGCTGTGTTTTTCCATTTTGAAAGAATGCCCCAAAATATTCATATTTATATGTACTGTTTAAGAATATGGTTTTTATTTATGTATTTTTTTAATTTCTAGAGATATTCCAATGCCTCTTGTTAGTTCTGGTGTTGAGCATGGAAATTTAAGAGAACTTGCATTAGCAAGAATGAAAGATCTTGGACTTCAGTGTAGAGATGTGAGAACACGTGAAGTTGGAATTCAAGAAATTCATAATAAAGTTAGGCCTTATGAGGTAACAAAAGATATTATATTTTTAAAACATTGTTTACTGTCTATAAATTATTACTTCGTAAAGCTTTTCAAGAAATTGTTACAAAAAAAATTACTGTTACAATAGATACCCAATAAGTTTTAAATGCATGCAACAAACTTAATACACGAGATACATCTAGAAATACTTTCTAAGATTTTTTGCATAGTTCATCTTGACTTTAAAGTGCAATCTGTTTTGCACATTGGCTTCCAGTAGAAAAAGTGCTTTTTATATTCATTATGGTATCCTTCAAATCATCATTATTACTGTAACATAACCAATCTTCAGTTTTTTAAACAAACTGAAGTTATTTGAAGCTAGGTCTAGTGATATAATGAATGGGAGAAGAAATTGAAATATACATTGTTGAATAACAATCTGAGAAGTATGAGCTTTTGCTGTAGTTGATTTGTCAAAACTTTAAATCTTCCTTACAGATTTCTGAACTTGTGGAGATGTTTGATTATAGTGAAGTCATGTTTTGGCACTCCTGTAACATCTACATATATCATAGTGAGTCATTCTCAAAAACATTCATCCCAATGTTTTCTTCATATTTGATGTCAGCATTCTTGGTACCCATATGTCACAACCCTGACATACTGCTTCAGTGTCCACATTCAGTGAACATCAAGTGATAGTAATAACCTTCTTTAAATATTCCATCTTTTGATGCTGGCATGGGAAGATGATGTATTACCAGTGCTTTTCAGTGCCCGATGCAATCACTTCAATTCCTGGAATCTGCCACCCAGTAACTCCCTAAATTTTACAAATTCTGCTGCCTGGAGCATCTGCACCTGTTACACATGCTCTGCTACTGGCCCTGTATATTACCACAGATTGCAGTCTTGCTTTCGTGAATATTTGTCATGTTGTCATTTGTCAAAAAATCAATGATGTTTGATATAGTGTGTTAAGATATTATTGATTTTGAAGCTATTAAATGTCACCCATCATTGGGTGACATTTAATATGCCATATTAAAATCAAAATCTAATAAAATTTCACAGTTTAAAATATATGTAAATTATGACATTGATCCTTAAGCAATATTAGGATAATTACACATTAAAAGCTACAAAGCATTTATGTCTTGTAACAACAACACTCACAAAATATTTATTTATGCATGGTTTTAATTTGAAGTCTTCCCAGACATTTTGGCTAATTTTTATCAATTTCTTTCTCTTTACACATCTTTTCTAATGCATACAGTTATCTGCTAACTTGTCAACCTCTCCACAATGTACCTATGAGGGTTTACTTGATCTGGTAAAAGTTAAATAGTTCCAACCCCCCTGACAGACATGAAGCAAATTATTGCTATAATATTGAACAAAGGTTTAAATAAACCTCTTATTTAAAATGAACTCAGAATATAAAGGCATGTTCTGATGCTAACAAAATCAATTATAGATCATGGTGACGTTATTAAACAAGAATAGTCAAATTCAAATTAAAAATGTGGACTAGTGGTCAATGATTATACAATTTAATTTTAATTTAAGCTGGCTCTGTAACTCTATCATACGAGGAAATAGAAACGGGAAATTACAGTAAAGGCTTTGAAATCATAAACAACTGGGTAATTTACATAATAACTGTACATATTCTTTGAAGAATAATTTTCTTCAAGTATTGAGTTTCTTTCTTCAACAGGTTTCCTTTTCATTTCAGAATTTTTGGATATAATTAAGGATTTCTGTTATTCTACAATAAAAATTTTAAAAAGTGCATTTAGAATGTGTAGAAAAACCTGTAAATTTTATTTCTTTAATAATATGAACATTTAGTAGAAATATGAAATATATATGGTAAGGGCCGGTTACAGAGCTGGTGTGGCAGAATTTTTAGAATTTATTGACACACCGAGTAACAAAATCTAGATAGAAATGGCAAAACTTTTAGAATTTAGAGGAGACATTGGAAGCAGAATTTAGAAAAGCACTAGGCAGCAGAAAGGATGCACAGAAATTGATTGCATCAGGAGGGAAATTGCCTACTGCCAACTCGGTGTCTGATGCATTAAGACATATTAGATGAATCCCTTAAATTCTAAGTTTTCAATTTTTTATTAATAAAAAAATTAAATTACGCCTGCCCATTATAAGCATTTTTGATCTTTTCCACACTTGTGTTTAGTGAAAAGTAAGGGAAAATAAAGGGAAGATAAACATGTTAAGAAAAAGATTCTAGTATCAGAAGTAAAGCATTCAAATATTATCTTTGCATTGCTCTTCCAGACGTTCTCCAAAAAGTAAGAAATATTTTGGAGGGGGGAAAAAGGGGAGAGAAGAAGTGTAAAAATAATTTTATAGAGAAAATTGATGCATATTCTGAGAATTCTGATACAATTACAAGGGAAAAACTCTTACTATGAAAAAATTAAAAAGAAGACATTTTTAATTAATTACAGAGCTAATTTTGCTTTTGCTAAGAACTGTTCCATAAATTGTGCTTTATACATATATTTTATGTACATTATACCTTGTTTAGTTTTCAGACTCAAAATATTGTATAATAAGATGGCAAAATTAAACTTTATAATATGACAGCGGAAAAAAAAAATGTTTTATTTTAATGTTATTTTTTAAATATACTTTCAATATATTACCATTATTTTAATGAAATTTATGAACATCACAATGTTTTAAAAACAACTGTAAAAAAATTCCCAGATCTCGGAATTAAAAACTTTCTATATAAACTGATCTTAAAATCGCCAAAATGTTAATAAGTCGCCAAATTCAGAACCATTTAATAATAGTGAAAAGTTGTATAAGAGCTCTTCATTAGTAAAAATGAATTTCAAAATGCTTATGTTGCTTATGCTTGCTTAGAAACTTCAGAACCCCACCATTTATATTAGAAATAGGAACAAATTATATAACCCCTGAACCCATTCAAAAGATAACCATATATGTCAGTGAATCGCCAAATATATTCCTCCAAAATGATAATTCACACTCAAAATGGCAGTCATAAAAACAGATAGACATTTCTGATGGTTAAAATTAAGGACCTTCTGCCGATTTTGGCCAAAATTAAGGACTTTTAAGGACCAAAATTCGATTCCAAAAAACTTAAGGACCATACGAACCCTGATTTAATATAAAAGTTTATTTTTTCCCTCTATGCCATTATATGATTTTGCATAATCTGTGATTTACATAATCTGTTTAATACATAATAATATAAACACTTAAATTTACAAAACAAAAATATTTTCTTTCCCAGAAACAAGACACACATCAATTATCTTAAGCTCAATTACAAAGTTAATACTAATCTATTTCCTGTTATAAATAACAAATATGTGAATATGCTTATTGCCATGAATTACATTTTTCAGGTTCAGTTGATACGAAGAGATTATGTTGCTAATGGTGGTTGGGAAACATTTTTGTCGTATGAAGATCCCGAACAAGATATACTTGTGGGGCTGCTAAGATTGCGAAAATGTTCTGAGGATACATTTCGTCCAGAGTTAAAAGATGGTGTATCAATAGTCAGAGAACTTCATGTGTATCCTTATATTTCTCTATCTTTTTTACTGTTTGTAGTAACAGTCATAAATATTTTTTTAAGCAATAATTACTTGTATTTACATATTGTTTTTATTTATTAAGTACTTACACTATGTAAAATAGTTATTGATATTTTAAGTTCTAAACTAGCATTTTTATAGGATGAATAGGTATAGATTCAAACAGAAGGTACAAGATTTGACTAAAAATATAAATCAGTGCTCCAAAAATATTTAATATGGTATTAATGGATATTATATTTCATGAGGTTAAACTACTGGATAATTTTACCTTTAACTGATTGCTTAAAAATTTAGTACAAACTCAGGATTTAAATTTTTATTTTCAACAATTTTTGGATAAAATTTTGATCAAATGTAAGATATTAAATTGTAATCAAGCACTAGATTGCTCCCTTTCTTTCACATGCATATATAGCTTAATAGGTTATGATCATGTTAAACCTTCACTCATTGCATTTTCAAACTAGCATAGAGTTATATCATTATCAAAACGCATTTTAAACAGATTGTACTTGTGTAAATTAGAAAAAGTAAATAAGCAAATATCCTCTGCTAACCTCTAGATTAGCTATTTGAATTTCAGATGCCAATGTAAATTTTGTTATATTTTTCAAAATGAAATTTTAATTTTAAAAACTATTTATGGACTACCGTTGGACCATGGATTACAGCTTAAGAATCAACATTTTAATGATCCACAGACCTCTGGTTTATGGGACAGCATGGTTATGGGTCTACATTATGATTTTTTTTAACCATAAATAAAGAAATCAGGAAAACTAAAATTTGTTTTAGATTTAGTTTTAAGTAATGTGGCTAATTCTCTGATAGACAATATAAAATTTAATCTACACTTCATTTCCGTATTCATTCTGATGAATGTAATGTATTAATTCTGCATTACTGTATTATATCTCTTACATAATCTGTATGTGAAAGGAGGAATCTTTTTTATGTAATTACATTTAGAAACTTATTTAATAAATAAATATATGTATATCTTAGATATGTGTTATTTGCTGATTATATAAGTTTCTACTTTCTGTATATTTTTGTTTTATTATCTTAGATTAATATTTTCTATCAAATGATACAATTGTTTTTATTTAAAAAGTCTTAATTTTCACCCCACCAGTAGCAGAGTGATTAGCTGCTGAATACTGGTAGTTCAGCCTGGAAAAAGTCAGGGAATTCAAAAAGGTGACCAAAAAATTCAGGTAAAAGTCAGGGAATTTAAATGTTTTAGTTATAATCTGGAAAAGTCAGGGAGTTTAATATGGCAATCCCCCCCAAAGCGAGTTTTACGCTGACGTTGGAAGCGATCGCTTTCTTGGCAAATTATGTATCGTATGAGCACCATTTGGCCAGCTAACATAGAGCCAATTTTCACAGCTCTAATTAGATTGTCTTTTAGAAAGGCAAAGCAAGTTTCCAGCAACTTTGGTTTCCAGTATCCTCAAGAATCAAGAGACTCGCATGTGCACGTGCAATACATGTTGAACTAAAAAAAAAAAAATATGTATTCTCGTATAAAACAAAATCAGTTTAATCATAGTATATGGTACTATGGAGGTTAGAATAGCCTCCATGTATTCTCTTTTAACCACCATATACGGTACACACGGGATTTGACGACATGATGATGAGCAGTAAATGGGTCATTTTGGTGTTGCCAACAATTTTCAAAATCGTACCAAGGCCACAGCATATACTAGGATTTTACTGCAAAATTTTTAAACCATTTTTTCGTTTTAATAAAAACCTTATTTGTCATTTTGCAGTAAAATAAAAAAATGTAATCAGTCACCTAGGCTAAACATTACTGTATTTGCCAAAATATCGTCGATTATCCTAATTCAATTTTTATCTTTATTTTTAATGTAATTCCTATCATTTAATGTTTCTTCTTCTCTCTAAATTTATTTATTATTAGTAAATAATACTTTTAAATTTTAGGAAATTTTCTTTGGCATAATTCTGAAAGTAATTCTAGCAGTATGATGACATACCATCACGAAATTAAATGCACTTATTTTTTGCTCATGTATGCTGCTAAATAAATATAAAATACCTGAATTTATTTAAAAATATCATTAAATAGATATCTTTCTTTTGTTTAGCTGCAAAATGTCTGCCAAAAAAGATATTTTTTTTAATCCAGATTGGGCAGATTCGAATCTCAATCTTCAATGGAGAAAACAAGTCCTATTATAGTTATAATAGTAATGCTTTGGGGATTATATATTATATATATGTCGTGTGTAATTGAAAAATTTTTGTGTTTTCAAGTGGTACCGTAATTAATTTACCTCTTTGCACAGCCAACGTGCATTACGTGAATAGACTGGAATTTTCTTAAAACACACCTGCAAAAGTCAGGGAATTTCATTCTCTTGTTTGAGTGACAACCTACTAATTCATCTGGGTTCAAACCCAGGTGAATGAGTGGGCTGGCTGTATTTTTTTTTCCTGGTGTGTAATGTGAATATAAGCCATTATCCCTTAGAGAATGCTCTACAAATGCATCTCTTCCCTAGGCAGATAGCCTTTTATGCACTTTGCCATATTCAAGCAACCTAACTTTATATTTTTTTGTGAAGGGAAATTAAAAATGCAGGATAAGACAAAAAACAAACAAACAAAAAAAAAAAAAAAAAAAAAAAAAAAAAATTAGATTGCACTTGTATTTCTTTTTATTTAATAAATTGAGAAAAACCAAGTACAATGTTGTTTAAATAATTCATTTCTAAGCTAACAGACAGCTAGCTGCTGGCAGTGTTACATTCAAAATAAAACCGATAATTTTTTGTATTGTTCTTGAAGATTTCTCTGAGTGCTTTCAAATCTTCTACCGTCCAAAAGGATATTCCTTTCTTGTGAATATTGACATAATTTATTTTAAAATGAGATAGAAGTTATAAACAGTATATCTGTAAAATATGGTGGTTATAAAAAAACATAGTGCAAAATTTCTTCCTTCATAATTTGGTTGCTAAACTAATTCTGCTATTAAAGTACTGTGGATCTTGAAGGAAGTAACAGCAAGCTTTTGAACTTCAGATGATTTCTATGTGCATCTCCCACCCCCAATTTAAGGATATCATGTATCCTGCATTTTTATTAAGTTACTATCAACAATTGAGAAGTTTTTATGGTAGGTTTTCTCAGTCCCATAAAACTTAATATTATATCACTGTTTATTTTTACACATCCTGTATTTTCTGACTGATGATAAGAAAACATATGTCTACTTATACTAATTAAATCAGTGGAGTTGAGCCTAGTCTCATAGTAACAGAACATACTTTAAAACCATCTCTTTATATGTCTTTCAATTCATAGTTTCCAACTACAGAATTTTCTCCCTCTCCTTTTTTTTTTTTTTGGTGTGTGTGTGCAAATTTAAATTGGATTGTATTTTTATTTATAATAGCATTTAAATTTTGGTAGCCAATTTGTCTTTAACTTCATTTAGCTATGGCAGTGTTGTGCCGGTTAGTGCAAGAGATCCCACAAAATTTCAACATCAGGTATGTTCATCCTAATTTATTTTATTTTAATCTTGTTTTCTATTAATTTATTTGCATAATAAACATATGCTAAATTTCAAATTTTTTAACTAGTGTCTAAAATGCAAATTTAGAATTTTGAAACCTTGTTCTAAATTCGAAATATTCAAATTTGTTTTAAAAAGAAAAGAATTATATCTTCCTTTCATATCTGTGACATATGAGCTTTCAGGCAAAATGTAATCATTATTCCAACATTTTTTCCTTTGAAGATTTGAAGGGATTCTTTATTGTTAACTGATCAGTTTTGAAGTAGAGTTAAATTCCATAAATAGTTATTTAAATAGGCGAAGCAATAGTTAAATTTGCCTGCTTTAATAATAATGCTTTTTTTCTTAAATTTGTATAATAAAAAAAATTATACCATTTTAACATTCTTAATATTCTTGTTGCTTTTTAATACTTGAGTACTTTGATTATCTGCTGAATCCTGAGAAGCATCACCAAGCATTGTTACTTTGCCAAACAAGGTAATCTAGAATGCTAGAAAAATGTATTTATGTGGCAACCCAGGTATGGTTATGTGTATATTACAGCACATAATTGCAGTTTTGAAATTCGACGGTCATATTTGTGGTTGTTTTAATTAGTGTATGCTTGTTTTTTTCTTTTAAGGAATTGTAATGGTAGCGTGAAGTTTGTCAGCTAATGAAAAAGAAAGAGTCACATTTCATGAGAAATATAGCATTTTGTCAAATAGTAGAGAACAATGATTTTTGCAATGCATGGATATCACCCTCCCAGTTATTAAGATTTTTTTTATATATGTATTATGAAGTACTTTTTTATAGATTATTATTTTTATCATTATTGTTAAAGTAAATAAATGACATATGGTGCATTTGGTTAGCTTTTGTTTATCTTCAGGTTATATGGTTACAGTAACTGCATGGCTTGAAAGTAGTGTATCTACTGTTCTTTGGAAATTATAATACACTGGTCATCAAAATTAGAGGATACTGGGAAAAAACATACTCATTAAGTTAATGTTGAAACCAATGCCCAATACTGTAATTATTTATGTTAATTAAATACAATTGAACACAAAATTGCACTTTCACACATACGTTAGGGCTGGAAATATGCAAATTCGGTTACTGACAATGTGGTGTTCAATAGACACATGTTGGAATTCTGGTCTGTGGTGTTGTTTAAAATGAATGTGTGTTCTGAGAGTGATCAGTATTCAGTTGTAGCCCTTCTACTTCTGCTTAATGTGGTTGGACTGTATGCGAGAAAAACCAATGGTCTGCATTCCACTCATTCCAGTTTCCAGGGAAAGCCATTTAAGCTGGTGCCATCATCACATTCAATGGAGCCAAGAAGACTGGGCCCGAGGATTATTTACTGACGGGTCTAAGTATAGTCTGAATAGTGATTCTAGACACGTTCTGATCTGGAGAGTAGGAAGAAACACACAACTTGCCTTCCTTTGCCCGTGAAATATCAAGTTTCCACAACCACAGCTTTATGGTTTGGGGAAGAATCATATCTTTCAGTATCTTTTAAGGAGGTATGCTAACTGCTCAGAGATATGTGGATGAGGTATTGGAACCCCAAGTTAGATTGTTTAGGGGTTTTTTTTTTTTTTTTTTTTTTTTGGCTCAGAGTTTTTGCTAATGGATGACAATGCTCGGCCTCATCCAGGATATGTGGTGTCATGATACTTGCAAACAGAAGATATCACTCGAATGGTTTGTTCACCTTACTTGCCCGACATAATTCAGATTGAGCATATATGGGATGCCTTAGTGTACCAAATTCATCCCCTGATCCCCCAGGAGCTAAAAAGTGCACTTTTAGAAGAGTGGTGTGCAGTTCCGCTGGACATGATCAATGCTTTGGTAAAGTCTATGAAATCAAGATGTGTGAGATGACCATACACCATAAGAAAAATTTTCTCCACAAGAGTTGACTTAGTTTTAAATAGTAAGAAATAGAATAGTTGACTTAATAGTAGATTAAATAAGAATGATTGACATAATCTTCCAGTTTCCATAAAGTTGGGTTTAATTTCAATATTTTGCAAATATTCAACAGCCAAACATTGTAATTTATGTTAACTAATTCTTTTGTACAAATTTCTATTAATAATTTTTCATTAAATATCAGTTACATTTTATTTCTGTTATTTTCCTTAAATTTTGATGAGCAGTATAATAGCTTCAGCCAAATTTATGCAATCCTGTGTAGTTTTTTGAAGTGAAAACTGATTACTGTGCACATGGAGAGCTGTGCCAGGTTGTGTTGTTATGCCAGGAATTCTGCAGTTCTGCGTTTTTATTTTTAAAGTAAACCCTCTGACCGGCAAGGCCATATATATGGAATATTTTTGTAATATCTGCAAAAATGAATATATACATGCATCGTAAGATATGTCTAAGAAATTAAAACAATCTATTAAAAGTACATAAATCCAGGTATGAAGTACTAGGGGCACTTTGAGATTAAGATGAAGAAAATTTTTTCATAAATCAGAAAGCACCAAATTTTGATTATTAAAATTTTCATAGCTGTATTTTTTATGAACTAAATATTTTCTTGCAATTTTAAATATGTTAGCAGAATTTGAATTTTTCATATTTTAATCCCTATATAACTAAGTTATGTATTATTAAAATATTTTATATGTTACTGCATTTATCATTACTTAGGAAAAAGCTACAGCTTTTTGTGTAATTTCTAATTGTGTTGTTTTATATCTATAAAGGGGTTTGGAACTCTTTTGATGGAAGAAGCTGAAAAAATTGCTTTAGAAGAACATGGTTCATATAAAATAGCCGTCATATCTGGTAAGCTTAATTAATTTATATTATGTTCATTCATAAAAAATGATAGAAAATAAATCAGTATTGTTTTCACAAATAATAGTATTTGCAAACTCATATGAATTGGTGTATGGCAGTGGCGTAGCTAGGGTGGGGCAGGCGCAGCATTGAGAGGGCACCAAATTTTAGAATGAAATGTTTTCCGTTCTAAACTTCACATTCACATTCTTGGCACACAGGAGGGGGTGCAAAATCTTCACTTGTCCCCGGGCGTTGAAAAACCTAGCTACGCTTCTGCTGTATGGCTTCAAAATTGTTTCAGTAGCATGGTAGGTACTACAAATTCTCTGGTTTATTGTTATTTTGTTTACATTTAACATTATAAAGGATCTGCATAATTTCTCTGGTTTATCTCACCATGAGAGGCAACATGTGAAATCTCTGAGTAAAAAACCTGTATATTTATGTGAATGTTCCTCACATTGTAGAAAAACAACTGTGGCTAGAGCCACCAAATTTTGAATGCACAGTCTTGTACCCAAACATGTGTGGACTGAAACCTGAATTTTGAATTTGATTTTCATTTAATTCATATTTTTAGCCCAAAAGGGTGCTAGTCCAGAAGGGGTATTAAGACTCAAAACAACATTTTGCATTAAAAGCGTTGTATCACTTTTAAAATTCTTGTCACCAAATATTAATGCCTTGTATTATATTTAAAGAAATTAAATAATAATGAATCTACACGAATGTAGGTCATCTGATATATATTAACCAATGAGCACAAAACAAGACCTACATTCATTCGCCTCGCCACTGAGTTTCTTGCATGTATTGCTTTAAAAGAACATGGTTCATATGGTATCTAGAGCCATCAAATTTTGAAAAACGTAATCCTTGGGGGGGGAGGACATTTTTATCTGTAATGTGTACGACTGTCTATTGGAAATTCAAAAGATATACTGTTTTTAAATATTTTAGCCCAAATGCTCTCAAAACATGTATGTGTGTGTAAATGGGGGAAAAAAGCCCCTTTGCCATAATATAGATCTTTTAGATTCTGATCTGAAATGTGAAGTCTTTCAGATTTTTTTTCATTGTTTCAATTTAATGAATTTTTTATTAACAAACTCAGAATTTAAAATCAATAGAGCATTGCTAAGTTGATTTACAACATATTTTATCCCATTTTCTCTTATTCTTATATTTCTCATGGCTTTTATGTAAGTTAGCTTAATACTTTGCTATTTGCAACCCCAAAAGTGATTTTTGGCATCTGCAAGCACTTGGTTGTTCTCTAGATATTGTGATGTGCTTCTGCCTTGTGTGTGTATGTGTGTCCAAAAACATCATGTTCCACTTCTCCAATAAGTCTCACGTGCTGCTGCAGGTCATCTAATATATATTAACCAATGAGCACAAAACAAGACCTACATTCATTCGTCTCGCCACTGAGTGCTGTAAGTTTCACATGAATGCTGTTACAAAATAATTTAAGAAACTGCAAACCTTTGTCTCAGTTAGTCTGCAAGAAAGGTAAAATACTGATGTACCCTTCAAAATTCATACAGAGATTACTTGACTTTTTGTATCATTTCCAGACCATGTCATGGCATTTTTTATCTTGCACGGTATAAGGGTCATGTTCTTAACATGTGTATACACAACAAACAACACGAGTTGTATTGAGGGATGAAATGTTACATTTTTCCATGAAAACAAGGGACTATAAATGCAGAGGATAGCGAAATCATTAAAAAATACTGAAGTACAAAAACAGCTGCAATTATTAAAGAAATGCATATGAAAAATAAATCTTCAATTATTGATTGCATCAAAACAGCCTTTCTATGTATAGACTGATGCAAAACCTTATCCAGTTGTTTCATTTTTAATCCAGAATCTTCAGAAATTAAGTGTAGTTTACTTTCTGTCTCTACTTTAGAAGAATTGACAGGCTTTAATACAGCATTTGCTTGAAATGCTTGAAACTTTAAAAAAAAAAAATTAAATTCCTCTGGATAATTGCTTAGTATTTGGGTACTGACAATGCACCAGTAATGATAGGCTTGAAGACTGATGTCGCAGGCATCTTAAAAAAAGAAAATTCAGATTTGCAAATTATGAGATATATCTGTCACTTTTTTAATTTAGCAATTGAAAATGAGCAGCTTCTTTACCAGTGAGTATTGATGAACACATCATTGATATTCACTATTATTTTGAAAAGAATTATGCTGAAATAAAAAAAAAAAAAAAAAAAAAAAAAAAAAATTGAAACAGGTATACACACTTGTTATCTTAAGAGAAATGTTTAGCTAGAATCCTTGACCAGTGAAACCCATTCTAGAGTTAAGATAAAAGTTATAAAATACCTAAAGTAAATGCAGATCCACTGTTAAAAATATGTGTGGAAAAATAAAGTAATTCCTGCACCTATGAGCGATTTAATTGTCAGTTCTCAAAATAATACTACAAAATATAAGCGTAAACACAGTTAAATTTAAAAAAATTTTTTAAAATGCCCTACAAGGGAAACATTTTCCAATTATTGCAAGTTTATCTTGTGAAGAGAAATATTTGTGTTTCTATCTTCAGATCTTAACAGGAAGACAATATAACTACTTACTTAGAAGCTACTTCTGCCATATGTATGATTACATATTACATAAATTTCCAATCAACAATGAAGTGATTTTACATCATTTAGTTTTGAAAGATGATCATATTGATGTTGCAACTGATAAATTGCAGTCATAATTTTGCAGTTTACAATTTAAAAACTTGGATAAAATCATGGAACCAGCAAGGTTGATACCTAGTGGAGTTTAATTGGAAAATTGAAAGGTGCTGAAAGAATTTTCAAGTGAACTGTTTAGAATAATGCTGGTCGATTTCCCATAACAATATAGAGTATGAGAGGTTTTCCAGCGTTACTAATACTCAATTACAACAAGGAGTAAATTTATATTGAGTATTAGTAATTACACACTAGAAAAACTTTTATTGGCAATAGCAAGCTTACGTGAAAATTTCTATGAATAAAATTAGAAAATGAAATCAAAATCTGCCACATGTTTTAGTATATGTACAAAAACTGATTAAAATATTTTACTATTAAATGGTACAAATAATAAAACTGTTTTTTACATATTCATGTTTTGTACTATTTGCATTGAAGAATAAGTAACTGAACTTTCATATATTAATTAGTTACTATCAAAGTCAATTAATTATTAAAAAATATATTTTCTTTCTACATAAGATAGAGAGCATATTTTTGCACATGCATGGGTTCATACTAGATTGAATGTGTATAACACCGATGATGGCTTGATAAAATATATATGAGGGTCAGATGCTACATATAGCATCTATTATAGTTATTCAATTGGAATATCCATTACAGTTATACAGGAACCAGAGTCAAAGTTTGATGGTCTCCAAGTTTTGGCGAATTCTCACCAGTTTAGCAAGATAGCCAATTACTCAATGTTAAATAGACTTGCCCATGTATAATTTTCCCGGCAAAGCATCACTTCTTTAGATTTTCATTTTATTTTATTAGGGAAAAAAACACTAAAATTATTTATATATGTATAAAATTCGTACCAATATTTTTATCATAAAAAAATCCTTTTCGTGGCTGATAAAATTCTCCCGATTTAAAAAAAAAATATAATTTTTGAATGCCACAGATTGTCAAGTATGGCAGTGTACTGTCATTTGGCAAAGCTTAAGCTATTTGTTTTCCAAATTTAAGCAACAAAGTTAGTGATAAAATATTTTTATCTTTCACTCACCAGTGCATTTGTCTGTATTATTTGCTGAACCAAATGAAATTGCACTAACTGGACTCATTAAAATCATTACATATTTTTATTTCTTGTAATGCCAAAGCAGACTACATTTTATGCTCTGATGATGCAATAAATTTTTCTAATACTTAGACAAAGATAATATATCTCATTTATTGTAAAATTCTAAATGTTCCAAAAAATTTGAATATAGTTCAAATCTACATAATTCAGGAATTAAATGTGTAACTTTCCATACAACTAAAATAAAATATTTTAGACTTCCCTAAATAAATATACAGTCAAAAGTCGTTAATTCGGACACCCATAATCCGGACCTCAAAGCTAAAATCTTTCTGCGCATGAGCCGCGTTGACGCTTGCACATAGCCGTTTTACGCATGCGCGCAAGACATTTACGACTGCGCATATGCGTCTGCGCAAGCGCAGAACACGTTTTCGTGTGCACATTTAATGTATAACGGACGGTATAAGCTAAAATTATCTAATTATCTATTTCAGTTGCGTTGTTCCTTAATCTTCGAATTGGATCCGGCTTATTATTTTTTGCAGACTGTAAGAGCAATTTTATAAAAGTAAGCTTGAACTTTTGATTATGTCAAATAGAATTTCCGATGCTGGAGCTCCCAAAGGATCTAGAAAATGAAAGTATGTTTTGATGTCCATCAAACAAAAAACGAATTGCTACAAAAAATGGATAAAGGCATATCCTTTGTTTATCTAACCGTTCCGAAATCTGTTTATCAATTTCACGCTGCTCTGCCGGGGGGGGGGGGACGTCGCGGCGCGCAATGAACTGGAAGTTGATCTGTCAGCATTATCGTTATCTTCAGGGCAGATAATTTTATTTTATTCGGCTTATAATTCCTTACTAAATGTAGTATTTAATCTGGATGTACTCCATCTTTGATTATAAATATCATGCCTATGATTATATTATATCATGTCTATGATTATATTATATTTATTGAATATAAATCTTCATTATAAATATCACGAATACAAATCAAATAGTTTTCTGGTTGCAGTTTTCTAATTTTGGCTATGCGTAAGGTATGCTTTACTCATGTGCGCGTTGAAAGAAATGTTTAATAAAGTAAACAAATAATATTAAGCTTCTTTTTTGTAAATTTTGATACCTTTAGATCATAATTGCTATTTTTTATAAATTACGGTTTCATATTTTTTAATTTTATAATTTCTGCATGCCATCTTACCAGATTTAAACTGATGATCTATAATCCGGAATCGCCGAAATCCCGACGAGTCCAGATTAAAGACTTTTGACTGTATATGTTTTATCATTAGCAATCCATAACTTTTAGAAAATCAGTTCTTAATTTCAAAGTACATTGGGCATCTGTAATTATTGGCAGCTGGGCCTGGTATAAATTAAATATATACATCTATTAAATTTGTCTAATTTGTGAGTGAGCACATCATGATTTATTTTTAAAATGTTTTGTATGTGGTAATCACGCTTAGACTAATCCGTCCCTTCTCGAGTATTAGGTCTTATCTGATTTCATTTAAGTTCAGCCATCCACATTGTACTATATAGCCTAAAACTTTAAACAAGTGATGAAAAATTCTGTTTTCAGAAATCTGTAAGTAATAACTCCAAGATAAGAGGCCTTCTAATGAGGCAGCACTTGGATAATGAAATTCTAGTGACTTGAAATCATATAAAATTGTGTTTTATATACATTCCATGATGACTTTCTGTCATATGATGAGAGCTGATTGTGGGTTGCTGAAGCATGAAGGTGTTTATTAGAAATTTCATTTCTTGCCCGAATCTTTTGTTCATTGCAGAAATTTCTTTGATGGCATTAGCGATTTCTTAATTTCTCACTCTGCTGACAGTTCCTAGCAAGCTTGTTCCTTTCTTTTGTAAATCTTCAGCTAAATGAAATGATGAAATATATATATATATATATATATAAACTGTGTCATTTAGACCTTTGTTTAGCAAAGGTTTCATCATCCTTATAATGTTGTATTCAGATAATCTCTTTTTGTATGGTTGTTCTTTTTCCTAGATTTTTTCCTAGATAAGGGACATCATTGAGAAGGTATTTTGATTTTACACCAGCAAGCAAAAAACTTTTGTTATTATGTTTTGATGGTATAAATTGAGTTAAAGGCCATCGTCTTTTGCTTGGAAACAGTTGTTTGTCTATAGTTATATTTCTTCTGGTTTGAAGCAAGAAATAAAATTATCAATGAAGCAATCCCAAATTTCAGATATCATTCCAAATTTATCTGTTTGCAAATATGTAGATTTCAAGTCAAATCATAAAAATTGCAGAATTTCACAAAAACATGTTTCTTTTCATAGTTCCTGTGCCAAAAATTCAGGTTCCAGGTTTAAAACCACAAGGAATGAAGCTCTATTCCTTTCCCATCATTCACATCATGAGCATGTAGTATTCCAATAAAGGAAAGTAAAGAGACCGAGTGTCATTCTCAAGGATGTGCCTTGCCTGTACTTTGGTGCATTTCTTTATGTTGTTCAAAATTGTGCTATTTATAGATAAAAACCAAGCATTCAACACTTTCAAGAAACCAAACAAGCACCTTTTAGCATTATTTGTTAGTCCACTATTTTGGTGTATAGTATTTTGTTTTGGAAACTTTCCAGGATTTTATTAAAATTTTTTTTATATGTTTTCCATTCTGTGCCATCAGGAGCAATGAGTTTCCATATTACCTGACGCATCTTTTGAAATTTCCTTGTTTTCACCTTCATGAGAATCTGATGAATAGTCATTTTTACATTCAAAATCAACTAAGTCCTCATCTTTTAATGTCTGGTAGTTTTACTCCTTCCAGATTCTATATCTAATAGCGTCACTCATTCATTAAAATGCCACATAAATGTCACTCATTCATTAAAGCAACAGCAACAAAAACAACACACAATGTTACAATAATACAAAAAGAAAAGCAATAAAAAGGATTTAAATACTTACAGATATTTACAGCAATTATTTTATTATTAAGTATCAAAATTGTTTAACACCTTGGCTGAAGCCCGATTGTTAAGTTGCCCATTATAAGATCTTTGCTTATACAAGATATTTCAAATTTAATCACAATCTGCCTCATTAAACAGGAAATATAATATGTTAATTAATTGCATACATTAATGTGTTGTCCTTCTAAACGATGTTGATATTCTATAATGCATAAAACTATTATTTTAACAAAATAGACTTTAATCCATGCCTCATGGGTTTTATTTAAATTTGCTAATTTAAACATTTATAGATATACAAATAATTAATACATTTTGGGAAAAAAAATATTTTAAAATTTCACTCTGCTAAAAATTGCTTTCTTTTTAGGTGTTCGGAACAAGGAATTACTACAGAAAGCTTGGATATGAATTAGAAGGTCCTTATATGTGTAAACTATTATATGTGAATACTTGAAAATGCCACATATTGTATTTTGTAAATAAAATTTATTGTTATAAATGCCAGTCGTTTGTCACTTATATTAACAAAAACATTTAAGGGGAAATCACCCATTATTTGATTTGGTAATTATTCATAAATCCTTGGTTATAATTTAAGTTCAGACTACTTTGTTACTCATATACTGTGATATGTAATAAAATGTTTAAATGGATGATTACTGCAATAAAACAACCATATATTTGTTTGTAAAAGCTGAGAAATTATAGCTAATTTTTACTTCCTTGTAAGATGTAAAGGAAGTATTGTAACTGCAAGAAATTTTGGGTATCATATTTCAACAGAAATATCTATTTTCATTGTTTCTAAATCATGACATCTGTATGTACAGACAGAATAAAGGGCTTTTTTTTTTCTTTTCAAAATCGATTGTAAAATGGATTCTTATCACGACATCTGTATATATGTTGCATAACTCAAAAACAATTAGCTACAGAACATTAAAATTTTTTACATGGGACTGCTATAACATCTTATTGTGCATCTCCCTTTTTTTATTGCAGCCGGCAGTACCCAACATATATATTACCCAGCTTAAAAGTCCTTACCCTTTATTTTTGTAATCGTTGGTCGCAGTTATATACTTCCAGTTACATATATGTTTTATGTGACGAATGTATTCATGCTTTAGCAAATCTAACTTTTAATGCATTCTCCCAATTCCTACACTTACATTTGTGAAAATTTTATACTTGCTATTAGAGGAAAGAATTTTGACTTCCATACAACAAAAATTGACTGGGATGTTTACTTTCAAAATTTTCAGTTTTTGATGTCATTTTCAACCAGCGTTGAGGTATCCATTAATTAAGTTAGAGAATAATTCAGCAAAATAAGTTTAAAATGAAATGCATCAAAAAATTTGTAGAATTAATTTAACAGTCATACAAGGCAGTAAGTTTTCTTTAGGGGAAAAGGAAGAAATATCATATGCAGCTTTTCATTTCTTCTGTACCAAAATCGATGACTGCACTCTGTATATAGTACAGAATCTGAGATTCGGAAGTCCAATATCTGAACCACCAATCAAAAAATAAATAAGTAAAACAATGGGACCCCCCCCTCCATAAAAATCTAGGACTATAGAATATACACTCGTGGACCAAAAAATTAGCCCACCAAGAAATAATTGTGGGATTGTAACGAAACTTGCAATGAAGGTACATGTCGGGGAGATATGCAAATGATTAGAAATGCAGCGTGATTGCGCATTACGGATAGCCGGTAAAGGGCGTAGAATGTCGTACTCTGTGGAGTATAAAACAGGTAACCAAAGCTTGTTTGAGTGTGCTGAATCATTTACAAAGGAAGAACTGAGGTAGACATGCCATTACGCTGTGTTTGAAGACAATATGAGCAGTTGTCACAGTTTGAGAGGGAGAGAATCGTCAGGATGATGGAAGCTGGGTAGTCAGCTAGGCGAGTAGCTCGTCAATTAGACCACTCTGATTGTGTTCTGAGGAGGTGTTGGGACCAGTGGACCCAAGAGATGTCATGTACACGAAGACCAGGCTCAGGACGCCCTTGACAGACTAGTCATCGAGAAGACCGCCACATCATTACGAAATGCACGCGTACCACCAATTGCTTCATCGACCGCCATCCAGGCACAGGCAAGCACCTTTCACTAGAGTGCCCCTGTGTCTTCTCGAACCATACGAAGGCTCCTGGCTCTGAAGGACAGTTGGTACTGTAGCGCCCATTACGTGTGCTGCCCTTGATGCCCACCCATCGACGCCTCCGTTTGGAGTGGTGTTCGAGCACTGAAGAAACTGGACTGCTGTGGAATGGAGCCAGGTCCATCTTTAGCAACGAATCCAGATTCAATCTCGGTAGTGATGACAATCGTGTTTGTGTGTGGAGAGCCCGTGGTGAATGCCTCAATCCTGCCTTTGCTGTACAGTGACACATTGCTCCTACAGCTGGTGTGATAGTATGGGGTGCCATTGCCTACAATACACAGTCACCCCTAGTATTGTTCTATGGCACCATGACAGCCCAGCAGGTTCAGGTTCAGGTGGAAATGTAGTGGGACACCCAATGTTTACTATAAGTAATGTAGGTATAGTCCCGCTACACTTCGGTTTATTTTTAAAGTTAATATTAAAAAAATACATAGTATAATATAACAGTATAAATAGTATATCGCTATTTTGATTGATATCATATCTATAATTATAGAAGTTATAATAGGTCTAATAATAGTAGGCTAACAGTCAAATTTATAACGTTCATAATAGTTCCTCGCGATAAAGTTTATTTTAGAATCTGTATCTTCTTCTTCTTTTCCTTACTAATCAGTATTATGCAAGGGTTGTTTTTAAGATAATTTGATAAATGTTTTAGATGAATTGCAGCTTCAAAAATGATTGACATAATTACTTTAGTGCTCACATAAATTTGCCTATTGAAGATAGATATTTGGATTTTCGATTTTATTTTTTAAATGTTTGTTGGTAATTGCAAACGAAGGAAGGCATTGATATTTGAATTAGGCAAATTAATATGAGTTGACTTTGTTAGGGACATTGAGTAATATAATGGATTGGATCACCTTTATTTCCACATACACATTGCTCAGAGTTTGAGATGTTGAATCTGAAGAAGTATGTGGGAAATGGCCCATGTCCAGTTAAAAAGCGGTTTATATAACAATTGACCATTGTACATGTATCATTTACATGAGGTGCTATTTGATGTAATTGTCTTCCTATATTTATTGTTGTCCATTCTTCTTCCCACATTTGGAGGCTGATTTTACGTGACAGCCCAGCAGTATGTTCATGAAATCCTGCAACCACATGTATTGCCACTCATGCAACGGCTCCCCGGAGCCATTTTTCAAGAAGAGAATGCTCGGCCTCATAATAGCAAGGGTGTCACAAGACAGTCTCGACACTGTTACTACCCTTCCTTGGCCTGCCCGATCCCCAGATTTGTCTCCAATCGAGCATATCTGGGATCATTTGGGACGATGAGTTGGGCATACCATGAGTTTGAACGAACTAGAGGCAAGATTACAGGAAATATGGAACGAAATGTCCCAAGACATCATACAGAACTTGTATGACTCAATGCCCGATCGTATCGCATCGTGCATTCGCGCTAGAGGTGGTCCAACGGAGTATTAACTCCCCCGTTCTTTTGAATTTTTCTCTGAAATTAATTATCCTTTTTCTTTGATTTTCTTATCATTTACTTATATCAAAGTAGTCATTACGTATGTAAAATTTCGTTTCATTTTGACTTCTTCTTCTTGGTGCGCTAATTTTTTTGTCCATGAGTGTAATACTTGATGAAAAGGAGGTGAACTGTGTATGTGATTTTTCTTCTTTTTTGAGATTCCTACATGCCACCTTTTAAACACCTGCTGGCTAGGGAGTCACACTGTAACCAACAACAATATATTATTTGACCTTGTACTGATGTTGGCCAGGATCACATTCTTCCAGTTTACAGCAGTTGTTTGGGAGGGGCAGAGCAGGCATTATGCATTTTGTAGCCTGGCACTATCTCTCTAGGTCCTGATTTCTGATGCCCGCTACCTTTCTAAATTCTAAAAAAAGTTGCAACCTTTAAAATCAAGTGCCTCTTCTTAATTCTACAAATTTTGCCAATCCTAATTTTTGCTGTTCGCTGTTATTATAAATTCTAAAATTTTTGCAACCCTTAATTCTGACACCTGCTGCAATTACACCAAATCTGGCACTGACCATGTTCAGGAGGGAGTAGATTTTTTCTATCTGATCTAAATAATGAGCAAAGCCTCAATTTTGCCATGTCTACATGCCATCTTGAATTGCCAAATCTGGATCTCAGATTTTGTAATGTATAAATGTACAACTTAATAGCAGTTATTGAAAAGAAGTGTAGGGTTTTAGAAATTTGGCATAAATAATTATGCTTTGAGGCAAAATATTTCTTTCTTAATAATAATTTTTATTAAAATATTTCATTTTTTAATATATATGCTGAATAGAATTTATTTATTGGGATTTTCTGAATTATTGATAATTTCAAATGAAAATTAATTACAAGCATCAATGTGTAGAATAAAATAAGGAACCACATAGCTTTGAGTTTATGAGGTAGTAAAGTATGCAACAGTGGCGGCTTGTAATAAGCACTGTGGAACTGTAGCATCCTGTTTCCACTTATTATAATTTTTAATATTTAATATAGTGTGCCCTTTAGCCTTTAATTCTTTCTTTATACTTTTACAATACATAATCCTTAAGCTTAATGTCAGTCACCATGCCTCAGTTTGTGAAAAAGGTACGAAAGTCTTTGTTTAGAACTGCTCACTTCATAGTTCCTACGACATAGTATTTGGCTGTTCTGCGCATGTGCACACAGAAAGCAGCATGCCGAGCCAGGGAGAGAGAAAGCACTGTTGCTCTTGCAGTTCAGAAATTCTGGCGGTTATTGCGAACGTGATTTCTTTTCACTCCGCGTGTGTCATATTCCTTCATAAAGTGGAACTTCATACGGACCATAAACAGAGTTCATGAAAATTTTCAACCTTTCAAAAATTGCCTTATTGAAATTCAGTCAACATCAAATGCAGATCAAACTATTGCAAAAGCAACAGGAATTTTAAAATATCTAAATGATGATAATTTCAAGTTTTGGTTAGAGCATTTTTATGAGATTATACCTCAAGTTGAAATAATATACAACTAAATACAACCCAGAGAAATTAATGCACTTAAAGTAAATGAATTTATAACAAATTTGAGTATTAAGAAACTCAAAATACTGTGAGAATTTTTCAAAGACACTGATGGCAGAAGCTAACAAAATATGTGATTTTATATTATGTATTGATGTAATGCACAGATACTCTTCCACTAAACACTGAGCAGCTGCTAAATTGTTTAACAAGATACTTGGATACTTATGTGTTTTATACAGGCATTCTACTGCATTAGACAGTACTTTCCTGTTCTATCAATTTTGTCCACAATAGGCCTTGTGATGAAAATTCCTTAGTGAAGCGCTCGAA